TAGAAAATAAATCATATATAATCAATTTTTTTTTGCTTAAAATTAACATTTTCTTTTAACCACTTAATCAGACAACTTTAATTCTTTCAGCCAGCCAACTTCAGGATTATCTAACATCACTGTTGCTGTCCCTCTCACATGTTGGTCCATATCTCTGCTATATGGACAAAAGGATTTGTTTGCCCAGTGGATTTGTTGATATTTAGTTGATATTTGCTCTCCCTGTTTTCAGTTTTCTTTACGCCCCTTTTGGTTGATTTATATGCTGGTTTTTAGAGTAGTGTTGTATTGGGTTAGATAGAATATACTGTGGGGAAAAAATAGAATAAACAAAAGTGATACAGCATCAATATGTTTATTGAGTTTTGATTCTAGAAACTTATTAAGAATTTAATGGGAAAGTATTAGGGTAATTTCAAAATGACTATTTTTAGGAATTCACAAAATATTGGTACAGTAACATTGGATATAATTATGCTAGCTGATTTTCTCTATTTTTGCAATTAGATCACCTTTGCATCATGTTAATTTAAAGTTAATCCAATAGCTAATAACACTGTTAAATGTAACCTTGGCAAATCTCAAAGTGAATGTCCATCTTTCATACTGTACATTTTATATACATTTTATTTTGATGCCTAAATTTACTTGTAGCTATATATTTTTAGTAAAGCATATTCTTGTAGTATTTATAGCTTTTTCTACTTTATTGTTTTGTCTAAATTTAGTATAGAAAGCAAATATTTATAGAAATGTAATTATTTGATCATTTATCGTTATCAGACAGAATTTTAATATTGGTGCATCCATATTATTGTCATTAGAGGCTGTAAAATAGAAATGTACTTCTTGACTTAAAAATGCTCAACCAGCATTTTTTTCCCCTTTTTATGTCTGATGGCAAGTTCGCTCCTTCTGCTTAGAAGAGCTAGTAAAGGACTGTGCTGATGTTAGTAACGGCGTATAACAGGTTAGCCATAGAATAGTTAATTCCCAAGCATATGTGATGCTTCAAAGGACAAGAGATTCTGCCTACTGAAACGAATCCCCACTATCAGGGAGAAAAACATGGCACAGGTTTCACAGATCATTTTCCAGGCTGAATCTGATAAGGTGTTGACTAACCATCCCACTGTGTGACTCCCTGTCACAGTCAGCGAAAACATGAGAGACATTCGACATGGGCACAAAATACAGAAAACACGGTGGCTTACTGAGCAGTTCCAGCAGCTCGTTGAAGCTCATGGAGGAACGCGACTGTCCTGGTTTTAGAGCTGCTGTCATTTACATGCTTTTCATCTTCAAACCACACATCCTCCAGGGGGGAATACTTCACTTGAAGATGCGATTCAATAATTCAGAGACACGAAAGGGGCCGCTGCTCTTTAAGACTTAAATCCAGGGATGCTGATTGAGACAAGTTTAGGGCAACTTGCTGGCTGTAAGAGGTTTCCACCTGCTCTCTTTTTAATTTGCTTTGTGTTGGTGGAGTGGAAAAAGACAAAAGGAAAGTAAGTAAAAGAACAGAACAGTGATCCTTGAGACATGGGACAGAACTTTATCTGCCATTTAGAAAAAAAAAAAAACCTCTCCGCTTTGAAATTGATCTGAGACGGTCACTAATGATCTTGACACAAAATGTAAAAATTTTTTTTTTTTTTTTTATCACAATTATAACAATACACTATCGCTCTCTTCCCCTCTAGCATAAATAGAAATAGAAAGTAAAATATAAAACATAAAACGTTATACTAAAAAATTCAGTATTACATGTAAATCAGATTTTGAAATGTTTAGTTAAATTATTGTGTTTTGCTCATTGGATTCAGGAATTTCTTAAAGGGATACTCCACCCAAAAATGAAACTTCTGTCATCATTTACTCACCCTCAAGTTGTTGCAACCCTGTATGAGTTTCTTTCTTCTGCTGAACACAAAGGAAGATATTTTGAAAAACGATTGGAACTTTGGCACCATTGACTTCCATAGTTTTTTTTTTTTTTCTACTATGGAAGTCAATGGTGCCCCTCAACTGTTTGGTTCCAATCGTTCTTCAAAATATCTTCCTTTCTGTTCAGCAGAAGAAAGAAACTCATACAGGTTTGCAACAACTTGAGGGTGAGTAAATGATGACAGAATTTTCATTTTTGGGTGGAGTATCCCTTTAATCGTGTAAAGATTGTCCATGTAATGCTCAAAGATCAGTGTGTTCTGGAAATATTAGCTTTATTCTTTAGCTCTGGACCCCCTGAGAATAAGTTAATGAGAGCTGTACGGATGGAGGGAGAGAATTTGCGAAATAGTGGCATGTTTAAATGCATATAAATGAGGTTATTTTTGATCTGACTCCAAATGCTTTTTGTTGTGTTGTTAATTTTCCACTTCAGAAAATGTGTCTTTATTATATATCACTGACAGAAGAAAATGGTAAAAAAAAAAAAAAAAAAAGGTCTTTCATGAAGTTTAACATGTCCAATCCATTATTTTGGTCAACATTCTCAGATATTTAAGTATTTTAATAGATTTTGTTCCCCATTAACCACCGTGGTATTAACTCCATCCAACAAGTATGGCAATCCTTTAAAGTTTTAACATTCAGTTCATTTTAAGTATAAGGCCTATGAATAGCTAACAATATCAGAAAAAAATTTATATAGCAGCTACATTTTATACATGACATCAGTTTGAAACCATCATGTAGTCTCAATTCATTTTTTTTTGTACCTGATAGTGTTGAGGAGTTTTCAGTGATTAGTAAAACACTTTCTGTGTAAATTTTGCACCCAAACATGGTGAACACCTCAACATGGTGAACAGATTCCTTGATACAGTAACTTTTTTTTCTTCAGTTTTGCAGCCTGTTTTGTCTTACAAGATTCAATGAGAATGAATAATAACTAAGCTGTCTTTATTTGGCTTTATTTGAAATTCCACTTCACCCTTATTTTAATTTCAGTGTAGGTGTACAAGCATTAAAGTTCAACTACTGTCAAAGTATGAAGTAACATTGCAATTAAGGGTTACAGCTCACAATTTCCATTGTCAATTTCGTATTTGTTAATGAAGCATTGTAATCACCCCATATTCTGTGAGGTGAAGCTGTAATTACCCTGTGCTATCCACACTTTACTATTGCCTGTATTTACATCAATGTAGATGTATGGTGCAACCTTAACACCCATCTGTCTCAAATGCATTCGGTTTGTTCTTCCTGTGTGGAATGGCTGACAGATAACTACTGCCTACTCCTCTGTAATTTACAGACATTAACCACATTCACAAGGACCTGTGGCAGTACGAAATGTTTTAAGCAACTCCTTAATTTACTTCAATTTACTTCATTGCATGCCTAATATGAATAAATATATGTAGCCTATATAAAAGAGAAATACATTTGCATTTCAATATTTCTTTTGAGATACATGTCATGTTTCTGTTGGGGAATAAATGTTATGCAAAGCTAATTCGGAGTCCATTTACTATCCAGCAGACTCTAAACTACTTATTTTATACATGGGAGGTTATTCAGAGGGCGATTGAGTAGCAGTTGATTTTCCTGCAGTGCTAGTATAACCCAAGGGATTAATGTTTGGTTGATTAGCATGACCTATTTAGCCCCTGCTAGATGCATAACACATTTTTGCTTGCAGGTTTTTTGAGCTAATCACTTGAACTGTGAATATGATGTGACTAATGATGTCACAACATGATCAGCTTTGTCATCATGACGATATTTTCTTGCAGCTCCAGAGTAATTAGTCACATGGCATTTACAGCTTAGGTGATTGGTTATTTGTGCATTATTTTATACAGTGTGTGATTTATTTATTTTTTAGCATCTTTTGGTAAAGACACTGAACAATTCAGTATTACATTTAACATGTAAATCAGATTTTGAAATGTTTAGTTAAATTATTGTGTCTTGCTCGAATGTATGTTGGATTCTGGAATTAATTAATCTTGTAAAGATTGTATTGCTCAAACCTCAGTGTGTTCTGGAAATATTAGCTTTATTCTTTAGCTCTGGACCCCCTGAGAATAAGTTAATCAGAGCTGTACGGTTGGAGGGAGAGAATTTGCAAAATAGTGGCATGTTTAAATGCATATGAATGAGGTTATTTTTGAAATGCTTTTTGTTGTTGTTAATTTTCCACTTCAGCACATAGTGGAGCTAATGAAAAATGCATAAGGATTACACCTTTGCCATCCAGTTTACTTTGTATTTAGTCAAAAAGAAAATATAAGATTTAAGGACCTTTCAGCTCAAATTGACTTGAGGACTGTTAAGGGTGCAGCTGTGACGCACACTGCAGTGTTTTCGAATTTAGTCCTGTCTACCAGTGTGGACAGCTTTCTAAAATGATTCAGACTGATGCTTAGCTGAAGTCAATCAGAACGGCTGGTGGAGAGGACAGGGAGCACATTCTTGGCCTCTGTTTAAGGTGCCCGCTGTTTCAATGAGGGTGCAATCAACATTCATTAATAATCCCATCCATTCTTTCTAATTGTGATTTTTTTTTTTTTTTTATATTCCATGAGAGGAAAAAGTCAACATCTGTGGCCATATTGATAAAAGTTTCTGACCTTAAATTAAGGAGGGAATGTGTATAGGTACTTGTGGCCATCTTATGTGTTCATTGATCAATTAAATTTACAATGAAAATGTTGCAAATAATAGTATAATAAATAAGTATATATAAATAAGTATATATAAAAGGATAAATAGGTATAAATAAAGGTGAAAAAAATATATATAGTATCTCACAAAAGCACCCCTCACACTTAAGCAAACATTTTTGTATATCTACTTGTGGCGGGCGACACGAGGGCAGTAAGAGGGGGGAGGGGGGAGGGGGGGGGGGGGGGGGGGTTTCTTAAAGATTTATAATTAATAGGATTGTATCATTCATACTCTGACTACGCCACTCTGGGAATTTCACCCAAAGAATTAGAGTAAGCCCCAACAAAAGGCACACACAGGTTCGAGTCACCTAATAGAGTCACTGCACACGGTGAGAAAGATACCGTCACCCAAGTAAGAATCCTCTGCCCCCGGTGCTCAGGCCCTGCTAACACACAAAAAGGGTATACATCAGATACAGAAATAAATAATCAAATAAAAAGAATCACTTCGATAGCTGGGAGGATTATTAGCGCTCAAATCAAGGAAACCAAAATAATATTACAATTAATAAATTGGAATAAACAGTTAGTTGAAACTAAACCCAAATGTCAACGGCAGCAAAATATATAAAGAAATAAATAAAGAAAACAAACCAAACTCCAGTCAAAATTATTAATCAAAAAAACAAATCAAGCAGTTGGGAGCAAAATAAAGCAATCTAAAGAAATGAACTTATTTCAGAGAAATAATTGAAAAATAGATCGTTCAACTTCAGGAGCAAAATCAAATACAAATGAGAAAGCAAGTAGAAACATCAAAATAAATTAGAATGAGAAAAGAGCAAGGATTACAGTTCAGATTCCACCACCAATCCTTGCAGCTAATATCAGTTCAAAAGAAAATGAAAACTACATGAAGCCAAAAAGAAACTAAAGAAAATATCAACTGAGAGTCCCAAATTACAATGGAATCAGTTGACAGTTAACAGGGTCGAAACAGGATCGAAAACAGACCAAAACAGGATCGAAAACAGACCGAAACAGGATCGAAAACAGACCGAAACAGGATCGAAACAGGATCGAAACAGGACAGCACTGCGGCCGGAATTGAACGCGGAGCACCCCGACTGGAATGAAGTTACAGTCCTTTACGGACCTATAACAGGGCGCTATAAACAACAGGATTGTTACTCTGCTAGATAAATTCTCTACTGCTAGATAAATTCTCTAACTTAATGCATGCACGTAAAACTAATACATACCGATCGCCGAGGAAAGTGAAACGTAGCTTTCTCTGGAGGGGAACTCAGGTTCTCACCACTGAGAAAGGGTATGGATTAGGACACATCCTTAAATACAAACTAGCACTTCAAAACACGCATTTCAACAGAGCCGATTAGCGAGAGATTAGCAAACTCTCCCTACCTCCTCCAGCGTCCACATCCAGTACACGCAAACAATAACAATTGTAGCGAGCTTGTGCCACAGAAGACAGCAGCACGCTCTCCAGAGCAAAACGGTGTTTCTAAAAGGTACATTAAAAGAACACACTTCTCATAACTACAGACACTCCAGGAGCTAAAAAAACAACTAACAGTGCATACTCTTACCGGTTCGGGTGCTCACGTCCGGTTCCCAGGAGGCAATAACGGGCTCGTATTAGTGACGCAACAATTCAACTGTGACGCCTGACTAGCGGTAACTGCGTGACTGTTTTAAAGCCCAGGAGCACATATGATTGGCTAGGCTGGCCATCGATCACAATGATGAAGAAAGACAGAAACGCCCTTCCTGCCACATACTCAAGGGACAATACTATAGAAATGAAACTTGGATATATTTTAGAGTAGTCAATGTGCTGCAGTATAGCTGTCCTCTGAAAATAACTCCACATACAGACATTATTGTCAAAATAGCTGGCAACAAAAGTAAGTACACCCTAAGTGATAACAACAGTGCGTCGTTTAACCATGCAAAGCCACGTGTTACAAATTGGTGTATCTTGTATTAGAGCAGTTAAAATTTGTGCTTTGAGTACAATTCTCTCATAGTGACCACTGGATGTTCAACATGGCACCTCATCGCAAATAACTCTCTAGGGATTTGAGAATTAGAATTGTTGCTCTCCACAAAGATGGCCTAGGCTATAAGAAGATTGGTATCACCCTGAAACTGAGTTACAGTACAGGCCAGGGTCATACAGAGGTTTTACAAGACGGGTTACACTTGTAACAGGCCTCGCAAGGGTCAATCAAAGAAGTTGAGTCCTCATGCTGTGCATCAGGTGCAGAAGCTGGCTTCAAAGAACAGATGCATGAGTTTTGCCAGCATTGCTTTAGAGGTTGCAGAAGAGGAAGGTCAGCTTGTCAGTACTCAGATCATACACCGCACACTGCAACAAGTTGGTTTGCATGGCCGTCGTCCCAGAAGGATGCCTCTTCTGAAGTTAGCTCACAAGAAAGCCCGCCAACAGTTTGCTGAAAGCAACCTGTCCAAGAGCATGAATTACTGGAACCATGTCCTGTGGTCTGATGAGACTGAGATAAACTTGTTTGCAACCTTTGCATGGTCTTTTCCCTCGCATCGGTGGCTTCGACCTGTTGTTCGATGCTCTTCTTCTATGCCTTCACGCGGCGCCCCCCCCCCCCCAGCTTTCGATGCCGTGGAGTGAAACTCCTCAATCTCCGACCGCTAAACTGGACAACACAGCTGAAGGAAGCAACATCGCCACTTAAGGTGGCTTTGATCAACGCCCGGTAAGTGGTGAACAAGACATTCATAATAAACAACTTTTTTTTACGACGCATGACTTGGATATTTTATTCATTACTGAGACCTGGATTAAGCCTGATGAGTTAAGTCCATTCACTGAATTAGCTCCACAGGACTGTCTTTTTTAAAATTCACCGCGCCTATCTGGCCGTGGTGGGGGACTAGCGTCAGTGTTTAAAAATTCTTATCCCTCTCAGATATGCAGGGGATATTGTTACCAGCTATGACAGAATATTAATTTTGGGTGATTTTAACATTCATGTATGCTAAGTCTTATGGCCTCTTTTGATTTTGATCAGTGGGTGTCTGGCCAAACTCATATTCAGGGACATACTTTAGACTTAATTTTATCACCTGGTTTACCTGTATCGGACATTAGCATCATTGCCACTGGCATGTCGGATCATTTGCCGATTCTGTCCTCCCTACCTCTTAATGCAACCTCGCTCACGGATGACTCAAATTTTTACTGATTGCGCAAGAGAGGACTTTATGGCATCATATCTCGGTTTACATGCCAATCAAGACATGGACTCATCTTTAAGCTTCTTAGATGCTGATGAACATTTGAACTTTTCCAATTCTATCTACTTTAACATCTTAAATGCTGTCGCTCCTCTTAAGGTAAAAAAATCCCAAAAACATAAGCACAACTCAAAGCCATGGTTAAATGACAATGTTTGTTCTCTCAGATAGATCTGTAGAAGGGCTGAACACAAGTGGAATAAGGATAGACTACATGTTTCCTATGATATCTTAAAGGATTCCCTCTCTGCTTTCCAGCGAGCTGCTACAGCTGCCAAACGTAAATACTTTTCTGAGTTGATTCTATCCAACAGCAATAGGCCCAATGCTCTATTTTCAACTATTGATTCTGCTCTTAATCCCACTACTCAAATGCTTGTCAGTCTATACGCCACTTGATGGCCCTGTCTGCTCTTCTATATGGTATGTCTTTGAGCCTATCTGTTTGGACTCCCTAAATGATATTGTTGCAACTTTAAAACCCACTAGTTGCTGTCAGGATGGGATTCCCACTTCTTTTCTTAAACCGGTATTTCAGGCTATCGGTCCTGATTTTCATCATCACCGGGATCGTTCCCAACTGTCTTAAACATGCTCCGGTTTTTCCTCATCTTAAAAAAGCTAATTTGGATTCTGCACTTCTGAGTAACTTCCGCCCAATTTCAAATATACCCTTTGTCTAGAAAATTCTAGAAAAGTGGATTTGAGTCAACTCCAGTCTTTTTTGAATGATAACAATATTCATGAGAAATTTCAGTCTGGTTTTAAAAATGGTCATGGCACAGAATTGGCTCTCTTAAGAGTCATGAATGATATAATGCTTACCACCGATACCGGGCAATCTGTGGCTTTGGTCATGATAGATCTTAGCACTGCATTTGACCTGGTCGATCACAACATTCTCATTTCTCGTCTTGACGCGTGTATGGGCTTTTGGGGTACAGTGCTACAATGGTTCCGTTCATATTTAACTATTAGGAGTTACTCAGTCTGCATCAGGCAACAGTCTTCGTCTGAAATGAAATTTGGGTCTGGCGTTCCTCAGGGCTCTATTCTTGGCCCGGAACTGTTTAATCTTTATATGCTCCCTTTGGGTTCTATTTTATCTAGATATGGGGTATCTTTTCATCTGTATGCTGATGACACACAAATTTACTTGCCTTTGAAGCGTGATGATAAGCTTGCTTTAAAGCCAATATTGGACTGTTTGGATGAACTAAAACTCTGGCTCGCTAGTAATATCTTGAGTCTTATTGAGAGCAAGACCGAAATTATCTTGTTTGGTTCAAACGATCGCAGTACTCATAATTTTGATCTCCAAACGTTGTTACCGTACAGTACCAACTGTGTTCAGAAACTGGGGGTTTGGTTTAATAACAACCTTAAATATGATAAGTGCTGTGGTTAAGTCCTGTTTTTATCATCTTCGTCTTTTAGCTAAGGTTAAGCCCTTTTTGTCTGCAAATAACTTTGAGATTGCTATGCATGCTTTTGTAACTTCCCGATTAGACTATTGTAACTCTTTATATATTGGTTCCTCTCAGATATGCATCACACATTTGCAATTAGTTCAAAATGCTGCTGCACGGCTTCTCAAAGGGAAGTGTAAATGTAAACACATTACACCAGTTTTGATCTCGCTTCATTGGCTACCGGTTAAATATACAAATAAAATTGTATTGTATTGTATGGTTTGGCTCAGAGGGTGTCCAGAATGTGTGGCGTCACCCTGGTGAGGAGCTCCAAGAAAATTGTGTCTTGCCTACAGTCAAGCATGGTGGTGGTAGCATCATGGTCTGGGGCTGCATGAGTGCTGCTGGTACTGGGGAGCTGTGCTTCATTGAGGGAAACATGGATTCCGTACTGTGACATTCTACAAGCAGAACATGATGCCCTCCCTTCAGAAACTGTGCCGAATGGCATGATAACGACCCCAAACACACCGCCAAGATGAAACTGCCTTGCTGAGGAAGCTGAAGGTGATGGAGTGGCCAAGTATGTCTCCAGACCTATTGAGCACCTGTGGGGCATCCTCAAGTGGAAGGTGGAGAAGCGCCATGTGTTTAATATCCAGCAGCTCCGTGATATCATTATGGATGAGTGGAAGAGGGTCCCAGCAACAACCTGTGCAGCTCTGGTGAATTCCACGCCTAGGAGGATTAAGGCAGTGCTAGATAACAATGGTGCTCACACAAAATATTGACACTTTGGACACATTTTTGACATGTTCCCTTAGGGCAGGGGTGGGGAACGTTGATCCTGGAGGGCCACTGTCCCGCAGAGTTTAGCTCCAACCCTGAAAAAAAAACATTCAGCTGCCTGTAACTTTAGTAATCCTGAAGACCTTGATTAGCTTCAGGTGTGTTTGATTAGGGTTGGAGCTAAACTCTGCAGGACAGTGGCCCTCCAGGATCAACGTTCCCCACCCCTGCCTTAGAGTGTACTCACTTTTGTTGCCAGCTATTTTGACAATAATGGCTGTATGTTGAGTTATTTTCAGAGGACAGTAAATATATACTGCTATACAAGCACCACATTGACTACTCTAGAAATGAAACTTGGATATATTTTATAGTATTGTCCCTTGAGAAGATACTAAAATGTTTGCTGAAATGTGTGGGGTGTACTCACTTTTGTGAGATACTGTGTGTGTGTGTGTATATATATATATATATATATATATATATATATATATATACTGTATATATATTCAAAAAGTTTTGGGCCGGTAAGATTATTATTATTATTTTTTTTTTTTGTAAAACGATTAATACTGCATATACATGTGTGCTGTCAATCAATTAAAAAAATAACTAAGTAATCGCACATTTTCTGTAATTATTTACACCTAACAAAAGTTAATAATACATTTTTATAAATTTAACAATTTTTGCTAATCAGTGTCGTGTTTAAATGCAAATGAATGATGTTATTTTTGAGTACTATGTGCTGAAATGTAATAATTTCACATTTAATCTCCAATTTAATTTAAAAACAACAAAGACAATAGCCTATATTTAAAATATTTGTTTAGTAGCATATTTTTATGACAGAAGGCATCACCGGTACCAACACTGCTACTGATGTCTCTATGATTTTTTCCCCCTTTATTTTAGCCATTAATTATAGCCATTCAGCATTACAGTATAATTGAAAGC